AGGCCGAGATCACACAGGTAAAGAGGAGCGACGGGTGGTTGTGTGTTGTACATGAAGCTGAGTTTGTGGTGAGGGAAGTATCTTCAGGTTTAACTGTTCAGTCCTATGGTGCAGGTTCACAAACTGGGGTAAGTCACCATGGTAACTCATGCTGAACCCCTAACCTGCTCCAAATCCATTCAGAAAGCAGCAGACATTTTTATAGAGCCCACTTCTTCAGACCAGAGCTGACGGATGAGTGTCTCATCTCTTTCTTTCCGCTGCGCAGGAAGGATACGGACGCACGGCATCGGCGGAGGCCATAAACAAAAATACCGGTGGATCGACTTCCAGCGACTTCGCTTTGAGCCGGGCAAAGAGGCTCAGTCATTCGAGGAGAAGGTTGTGGAGGTGCGGTACGACCCGTGCAGGTCAGATCAGCTTCTGTCACGTACACTTGTCGTAAAGATCAAGAACACAGAATTGCTTCTCACGATCTGTGATGTCTGTACAGGTCTGCTGACATTGCACTGGTCGCCGGAGGCAACCGCAAGAGATGGATCGTGGCTACAGAGAACATGCAGGTCGGCGACATCATTAAAACATCTGGAGCCATCGGACGCATGGCGGGTACGAGATCCTCCTCTAAACTTTGAAACAATAAAGATTTCTGCCATGTTTAACAATGCTGCTACTTGTAACCTCTGTTTCACGCAAATTAAAATCACCACTTTAGTCCTGGCCAAGGAAGGCGATGCCCACCCACTCGGAGCGCTGCCTGTGGGGACCCTGGTGAACAACCTGGAGATACAACCAGGGAAGGGATCAGAGTACATCCGTGCTGCAGGTGAATCTCTTATTTTGTGCTTTTTAAATGTTGCGTGTTCAGTAACTTCGAGGATGATTCACATGTCAACGCTTGAAAATGTTTCAGTTTGTAAAATGTCACAGAACAGTGACAGAAAGTAGCTTCCATTTTAAGTCAAATGAAATGTCGGGGTTGTTTTTTTTGTTTTCAGGCACGAGCGGCGTTCTGCTTCGTAAAGTGAACGGAACCGCGATCGTTCAGCTTCCTTCAAAGCAGCAGGTTCAGGTGAGGTCATCTGGATTAAGATTACACTGACTGGTTTAAAAGAACATTCTAATCTCAACTCAACGTTGTCGCCTCTGATGCTCCCAGGTACTGGAGACCTGCATGGTAACGGTGGGACGCGTGTCCAACATCGACCACAACAAAGAGATCATCGGTAAAGCAGGTCGCAATCGCTGGTTTGGCGTTCGCCCTTCGAGCGGGTTGTGGCAGAGGAAGGGAGGCTGGGCCGGACGCAAGATTAAACCGCTGCCCTCCATGAAGAGTTACGTCAACCTGCCGACACGCACTGCTTAATAACACGACAGGAGTCCGGACGCTGTCGTCTTGTGATGTTGTTTTGTTCTGGACAGTTGAATCAAATGAGAAAATATGAATAAAGACAAACTGTTTGTACAGAAGATTAAAAATTTTATTTAACACAACTGCTTGTGAGAGCATGGAAAGAAACAAAACGATATAAAAATCCAAAACATATTTACATCTATAGTAAAACATGCAGAGTAACCCATATTTTTAGTGGTAAATTTAAAAATACTGTCATGTCATTTAAAATAGGGTTTGTGCAAAGACACTGGGTGGCATTTCAAGTAACAGGAGCAATGAGAAGGCACGTTGTTCGACCATCAATGAACGTTAACACAGATGTTACGTTTGTTTTTCTGCAGTGCTAAAGTTGTGTCGTCGTGCCCGCTCATTGATCCAGTCTTGTAAAACACACCCATGCTACCTCTAGGTTTAGGGCAAAGGGAAAAAAACAAACTTGAGGTCAAATACATTGAAATCCACTTGTCATTTAGCCCATTTAATATTTAAGAGGCTAACTCACTTTGACATATTCCCTCA